GTTGGGCAATCCTACTTCCGTAGTGATACTGCCTCGGAAACCCAAGGAGGGGTCGCTATGAGTCGGGTATGACTCGACGGCACATAACAACAACCACAAGTGCTAGCTTGGAAAAAGATTTGACTTCTGGTGTTGTCATAGCTCAATCATTACTAGTCTTCTGTTGGGAGACTCTTTTATAAAGAAATGTTTAAAAAAAAAAAAAAATACTGTCTTCAAAATAGCTAATGTGTACATCAATATTTAGCATACCTGAGGTTTTTCCTACTGAAGTTAGTTACTGACAGATTCTTCAGGGGCAATCAGATGTTTAACTGAATGAATATAGTAACTCCTCTTGCCTTTGTAAAGAGTTACTAATTGAAAAATTATTGGAGTACCTATTATGACAGGAACTTTTCTAGACACTGGAAAAGTAGAAGTAAAACAGCAAAACGTCCTTTCCCTTGTGGAGCATATATTCTAATGATGCATGGGAGCAGAAAATTCACAAACAAGTGAAAGAAATATAGTGAGTTGGGATGATAAGTGCAATGGGGAAAACAGAGAGGGTAGAAAGTGCTGGAATTGGGAGCTCGGTGGATACTATTTTAAATAGAGTAGTCAGAGAAGAGCTCATGGATAGGAGACATTTGAGCAGAGACTTAAAGGGAGTGAGCTACTTCCCATGAATGGGAGGGGAAGAATGTTTTAGGCAGAGGAAACCACAAGTGAGGAAGTCCTTGAGTTGGAACACAGTTAGGGAAAGGATATTAGGAGACAGAGTCAGAGTGATAGACCTTGTAGCCAGTGTAAGGATTCTGCTTTTTTTCTCAGGGATGTGAGAAGTCATTGGAGGGTTTTGAGCAAAAGGATAATGTGATCACGATTAGGAATTATTTTTTTTCATAGAATCCAGGAACTAGTTCATTGTTGTGCTTTCACACATTTTTGTGTGGCATGACTTTGATTTGTTGGGAAGCAACCAATGGCCTGTCTGAGAATAGGCAGAACCCAGGGCTAAGCAGTGACCAGTGGCTGAGCAAATAATTAGGCTTTTACTTCAGTGTTGTAAAAGAGACCTCATATTGGCTCTTTCAGCTTCACTTATACCCTGTAAACAGCACCGGAAGCAATGTCACCTTCTCAAAGAGACGTCGGGAGTATACAAGCTGTGCAGTGATCTTAGCTTTTAATATTTCAAAAAATTTTAATGTGCACATGTATGCTTCTCAAAGGTTTTTGATCTATATGTTTTTTGTTGTATATGTAAATATATCTATATTCCTATATATGATCAGAACATTTTAGTTACTAGCTTTCAAAAAGGTACTACTTTAAAGATGGGCTTTATCATTTCAGAGGTCCTTTAGAATGAAAATCTTTCATAGTTTAAAAATGAAAGCAAATCTAGCTCGGTTTCTCCAGTTCTCACTTTCTGAGGCCTTAAATACTTTTCTCCTTTGACAGATGAAACGCATGGCTGCCATCAGGAAGCAGCGGGCTAAGCTGATAAAGGAGGGGAAGTACATTCCTCCACCTCACCACTCCGGCAAGGAGGAGCCCAGACCCTGAGCCAAGCAGCTGCTGATAACTGGAGGCTGATTTTCATGTTCTCTCTTCTCCATTGAAAGATAGTTTACTGAAAACTTCATGAAAGTGTCTAAAAATAAAAGATTGTTCCATCCTATTCTGTTTTCTCCTGGATTATATTTTGCTATAATGAGATTGCATCCTTTGGTTTTGTTTGGAAACATAAAAACCTGTGCCTAAAAAAAAGTAGCATCTAGGGAATAATAACTTTTTAATGAATGCTTACTATGTTGTTGTTGTTGTTGTTACGTGCCGTCGAGTCAAACCTGACTCATAGCGACCCCTCCTTGGGTTTCCGAGGCAGTATCACTACGGAAGTAGGATTGCCCAACCCGTTAACATATATTAAATATGTTAACTCATTTAAAAAGTTGCAGTGTTCCTTAGTGCTTGCTTTCTGGTTTTCACAAGGACAGACTTGGGCTGGGAAGGGAAAGGAGTAGAGAGAGAAATTGTATGTTTCCTTAAGTTCTGTGAAGTCTAAGCCTAAGAAAATGCTAGATTCAGATATCTTAATTTTGAAGAGGCAAATTGTTTTAATCTGCTATCTTATGTCACTTATGTTTTAGTACTTCTAAGTGACATGTTTGGAAACATGTTTCTGAAATGTAAAAGGGAACCCTACAAAAACTAATATAGTGAGAACACTGATATCCAACAACATTTTGAACTGTAAATGTCAGTTGCCAGAATTGAATATAAGGTTCTTCCCAAAAGGGAAAGTACATTGTGTCCTAGTCTCAAAATGGGAAGGATGGGATTTGGCATTTCATCAGGGTCCTGCTTGATCCTTGTTCCAGGGCAAATCTTGTAGCCAAGCAGCACTTCTGTAAGCCCACTTACTAATTAATTAATCTCAGTAGAACAGCAAGCTGGATGCCTTCCAGCAGGATCCTGTATTGTGTGGCCTTGTTGTCTTCTGTGCTCTGTACACAAGTTTCTCAGAGTTTTTTAAATCCAAAATGGCACTCTGCATACATATTTTTGGAAAATTCTAAGCCAGAGAGAGCAGAGAGGAAAGCAAAATGCAAACCAAGGCTCAAAGTCAATCTGTGCACTTTGAGTTTCACTCAGAACACCCACTGCTTCTGCATAAAGTCCTTCCCTTGGCGAGCCATATCCCTAAACTTAGAACTTGTACGAAATAATGAATTTCTTTATTGTATAAGCCACTTGTGGTTGGATTTCCAGTCACTTGCAATGAAAAAAAAGCCCAAATGAATAACAAATACATCAGAGTTGCTTCATTTTACACTTTTAGGAAACAGGCCTAGAAAAGTGAAGTCACTTACCTGGTATCAGAGATGTATGTACTTTCTTTGTTCTCCATTGCTGTTAAGTCAATTCCAACTAGCAACTTTGTAGGACAAAGTAGAACAGCCCCATAGGGTTTCCAAGGCTGAAAATTGTTATGAAAGCAGATGGTCACATCTCTCTTTTGCAGCACATATGGTGGGTTTGAAGCCATGACCTTTTGGTTAGAAGCCAGGCACTTCAACCACTGCATCACCAGGGTTCCAATGTAAGTAGTAGAGCCAGGATTTGAATCTAGGTCTAGATTTCTGCGTATGACTACAATATAGAAGGTCTAGGGAGACCTTTGCTACTGTATCTAGGTCTAGACTTGTGCTTATGACAAGAATACAAGGTCTTGAGTGATCCTTGCTTTTGTGATAACAAAAAACTAGATAAAACAAATACTTTTCCATAAGACTAACAAAAAGCAATATATGCAAGGAATCCTTGATTAATTGAATCCCAGAAAGACTGTAAGTGAGCAGAAAGTTGGTCAGTTTCTAGTTCTGGAAGTTGGCTCCTGGTGTGGGTATAAGTGTGCTTGCCACAAAGGAGACATTGCAGGGACAAGGGGAAATCAGCCGAGTCTGGGATGATGGTATGAAGTGGGAGGACAGATTAGAATCCGGAAGAATCTCAAACAAAAACAAATTGCCTGGCTCAACAATTCTGTCCTCACTCCTGCCACCTCCCTCCAAATTTTGCTGAGAAAGCAGAAATAGTGTAGTTCTGCACATTCACAGAGAGTGCAGTTTGTGACACTGTCGGAGTTGAATCCAAAGGTGAGCCAAAAGTATCTGAAAGTGCAACCAACCCCTTCCCAGCTTGAATTCTTTCAAGTTCAAAAAAGCATCTATGAAGGTTAGGAGTTGGGTTAATGACAAGTGAAATCAGTCTAATTAAAGTTGAGACTCAGCTCTAACTCTGTGACACATCTGAATGACCAGCCCCTCTAATTGTTAGAGGAAAGGGCTTTCACTTTTTGGGAAATACTATATTTCATTCTCCACTGTTTTTTTATACACAATAAGTGGAATACAATATCAAATTGCAAGACATGCAAAGGAAGGCTGGGAAATGTGACCTATAATCAAGGGGAAAATAGTCAATAGAACTACTATAATATAAATAAATTTATTGTAAACTTAAAATTCTAAAATTGAAAAAGTGTCTCAAATAAATTCATTGGATGGGCTTCACAGCGGATTGGATATGCAAAAGAAAGTATCAGTGAAAGTAAATAAAGATAAAGCAGAGGGGAAGAAAACCCTGGAATGTCAGTACTCATGGGATAGTATAAAGCAGTCTATACATTATTGGAGTCTCAAAAGGAGAGGAAAGAGAATGTGGCATACAAAGTATGGTAGTTAAGGTTGTGTGTCAGCTTGGCTGGGCCTGGTTTTGAGTGGCTGGGTAGCTGGATATGGTTATTCCCCATGATGTGACTGGTAATCAACTCCATGGTGGAATCTACTGTGAGCAGCTGAATAGCTGTCTTAGAGATGTGGTCTGCTTCCTGTATATAAGGAGAAGGTTTGAGAAAGGTCTCTGAGCTTTTTGGCACACTTGGAGCCTGCATTTAGACAAGTCTTCATTCAGTAGCCTGCTATGTTGTCTGCTGATCTTGAAACTGTTTTTGGACTTGTGATGGTCTGCCATGTTGCTTGATAATCTTGGGACTGTGCCATTTTACTTGTTGTCCTTGGGTTTGTCAGCCTCAGCAACCAGCAGCTGGCTGAGTCAAGGCAAGCCTCCAACTCCACTGGGCCAGGAGCAAGAGGCAGAGCTGAAGCCCAAGGTCGAGGAGCCTTCACCCAGCCCCTAGAGCTGGCACATTGAACTCGGATTAATAGCCTCCTAAACTGTAAGAGAATAAAACCCTGTTTGTTAAAGTTATCCATTTGTGGTATGTCTGTTACAGCAGCACTACAGAACCCAAACACAAAGGATTTAAAAACAATCCCACAGTAAAAGAAATTTAAAGTTCGATTTTCAATAGTATCAAAAAGGATAAGATACATAGGAATCAATTTAACAAAAGTGCAAAATTTATACTCTAAAAACTACAAAACATTAGTGAAAGACATTAAAGAAGACCTAAGTAAATGGAAAGACAGACCATGTATATAGATCAAAACACAATATTGTTAGGATGGCAATACTCCTCAAATAGATCTATAGATTCAGTATAATCCCTACCCAAATTCCAGTTGGTTTCTTATAGAAATGACAAACTGATTCTAAAATACATACAGAATTATAAGAGACCCAGAATAACCAAAACAATTTTAAAATAAGGAACAAATTTAGATGAATCACTTCCCAATTTCAAAACTTACTACATTAGCAGACAATGTATTTATGTTAATGGTTAATGCTGTGTTAATAGGAATAATTTGGGAAAAGATAGTGAAAATGGTTGTACAACTTGATGAATGCTATCAGTGTCACTGAATTATACTGGTAGAGATTGTTGAAGTGGTGTATGTTTTGTTGTGTATATTTTCACTATAATTAAAAAAATATAAAAAGATATGTATCCTGAAAAAGATACGTGTTCCTACAAAGCAACAGTAATCAAGACAGTGTAATACTGGCACAAATATAGATCAATGGAATAGAAATGAGACTCCAGAAATAAACCCATATATCTTTGGTCAGTTGATTTTGACAAAGGTACCAAAGCCATTAATTGGGAAAGAATCACCTTTTCAACAAATGTGCTGGGGTAACTGGATGGCCATATGCAAAAAAATGAAGTTGGATACTGTACCTAGTGCCACTCTGACAAGAAAATACCACAAATGGGATGGCTTTAACAAACAGGAATTTATTCTTACAATTTGGAGGCTTTAAGTCCAAGTTGAAAGTGCCAGGCTCTGGGGGCTAGATAAAAGCCCCTCAACCTTGGGCTTCAGCTCTGCCTCCTGCTCCCCACCCACTAAAGCTAGAGACTTTTCTTCACTCACATAGCTGCTGGCTGCTGAAACTGACAAGCCCAAGATTGGCAAGTAAAAAGGCACAGTCCCAATGTTACCAAGCCATACGGCAGGCCAGTAATTCAAGTCCATTGGAAATCCCAAGGTCAGCAGAGTATGGCAGGTTGCTGAACAATGACACAGCTACATGCATGGTTCAAGTGTGCCATATGCTAGAGACTATGCCCAGGGCTTCTCTTTATATACAGGAAGCAGACTGCATCCCTAAGGCAGCTACTCAGCTGCTCACAGTAGATTCCACTATAAAATTGATTACCAGTCTCATCATGGAAAATACTACATCCAGCTGCCCAACCACTCAACGAGGCCCAGCCAAGTTGACACACAAACTTAACTACCACAGATCCCTACTTACACCATATACAAAAATTAACTCAAAATGTATCAAAGACCTAAATCTATGAAACTCATAGAAGAAAATATAGGGGTAAATCTTAGTGACCTTAGAGTAGACAATGGATTATTTGTTTTGACACTGAAAGTATAGGCAACAAATTAAAAAATAAATTGGACATCAGCAAAATTTAAAACTTTCATGCTTCAAAGATGTTATCAACAAAATGAAAAGACAATCTTGAGAATGAGAGAAAACATTTGCAAATCATGTATCTGGTAAGGGACTTGTATTCAGAATATATAAAGGACTTGTTACTAAAAAGATAACTCAATTTTAAAATGGGCAGAAGA